TAGCAGTGGGTTGCTGGCGGTGCACAAAGCTGCTTGAGCCGACAATCTCAGTCAGGCGGTTCTGTTGTAGACATCTCTGAGATCTGACTGTGGTCGCAGCCAGGAGAAGGCACAGCTCCTCATGGGCGCGTTCATTCCGACATACTCTTCTTTTCCTAATTTGTACTTTGTAAGTAAATCTGATCTGGCGTTTCCCTCAGTTTATTAGCCAAGAGAGGCTGCCCTGAGGCGACAGAAGTGCTGAGTGCAGCGCATCTCTGTGCAGGGACACAAGATTTAATGCATATGGGATGTCTTAGTAGACTGTGTGCAAACTGTAACCTTATTTTCAAAGCCAACAGTCCCACACCGTCAGTTGTTGACAGTTTCCCCTCTGGATGTAGTGCTGATTAAACCTCTGGTTTCTTGAATTTGACTATACTAGATGGTTTTGTTTTTGTGTTTTTTTTTAGCTTTGTGCTTCAACAATAACTCTCAAATGACTTATTCTGCCTTATTTTCATTCCAGGCATCAAAGGTATTTAAAGGTAAGAATTCTAAAAATGTGAAAAAAAGAATTGATCTGACATCAGTCTTTGACTGCTTTAACTGATAACAGTTGTTCAGGCTTGTGAATGCAGGTAACGAGGATTTGGTGCCATTGTATTGTAGACTGTAGAAAGAACTTTCATTTCTTCCAGACTATATTATGGCAGTGCGCTGTGGTTCTGCAACAAGAGGGCAAAACATTCAAAGACTGCAGCTGAAACAAACCGCTGGTAAGATTTTAGAATTATCTGAGGAAAGTCCCCATAATACACCAGTACTAGCTGCCATTTGATTAATTCTAGTGAGTTTTTATAGCTAATTTAAAGATTGTTGTCTCAGTGGTCTCACTGTTTCCTTTATCTAACACTGGCGTTAATCAGTTATGTATCTTTTTTAACAGTGTTTTGTTTTATCTTAAATAATGATGATTTATATTGTATATGTTAGATTTTTTTTAATTAAAAATGATTTTTGGCTGTTTTTAAAAAAAGCATTTTACCCACAGTGTGAGTGGCTGGTCAACCTATGATCTTACAGTTCAGGCGGCAAGTCAGATATTTGGCTCAAGAGTTAATGTTTAACTAAAAAGAGAAGAAAACCTACAAATCTTTTGACTGTGTATTTGTTGGAGCTGTTCATATTTGCTAAATTTTCATATCCAAGAACATATTATACACAGTGCTGATAATCATTAAAAGGCTTTTCTCTGGGACTAACCCCCAAGTACTGATTACAGTTATGTTTACAACATGTTTTATTTGTCACAAGAAATCATTGGTTTAGATGATCTTACCATTCACTATTATATCCAGTACGTATAAATAATTATCTTAAACAATCCGACAAGATCTGCTCCTTAGCTGCTGAATTAATATATGTAATCATAGTTATAAGCAGCCAAAACAGCATGATATGTCTGTTTTTTAAGTATATATATATTTTTTCTGTGGTAAAGTCCAGCCTCCGCTGGTCACAGAGCAGTGCAGCCTCAGGCACTGTCAGACTCTGGCCTCGGATCAGCTAACCATCCGTTGTCTGCACTTTGTCATAGAGAAACTAAATACAAAGTTTCTGACCTATAGCTTCAGGGCGGGCTGGACAAACAGCAGTGATGGTTGTGTCTTAGCTCCACTGGGAGCTACACTGTGATAACACAACCCAGTATGTGTAGTTGACCTGTACTCTAGTCAAAGTGCATGTTTTCCCAGGTCTGCACTGCTGTGCACATGTGTATTTCCAAAGCTCAAACTTGTAGGTGGATGATGAATTCAGGGTGGCAACAATAAAAAATCTTGACAATGAGATGCAGTGTGTCAGCTCTGCATTGAAATAATCACACATCTCCTGTCTCAGCTCCCGCTCAGTGTGAGAATCATACATTCTAAATCCCTCTGAAGGCCTACAACACAGGCCTGTTTAGTATGCACATTGTATTGGACAGCCTCTCACTGAAGAAGAGAGGGCAGGAGGATGGAGGAGATTGTTTTCTCGATGTGGAATCTTCCCCTTTTCTTGTGAGCCAGAGTCTCTGGCCCGTCTCCTCATCCTCACCAACAGATCTTGTCACAAATCTCTCTTCCACAAATGGCTTCTTCAGTGTTTGGGACTGAAACGTGATATTAATAATCAAACAGCTGATTTTAATTACTTGTTAATGATAGAGTGGTTGATTTCACACAGATTAAAGGGGTCAGTATGAATGAACCCACCAATATATATTCTAAGGCACTCTCTTTCAGCTACCAAACTGCACCAAACAGCAGCTTAAATCATTTGGTGAAGAATGGTGAAGTTCCAATTTTATTCTAGATTTTTTTTTTTTTAAATATATGAGAGAGTGAAAACTGGATGTAGAATTTTTTCATGTTCCCAGAAATGTAACGAACATGAATACTAATCATGCTTGATGTGTCATAGATGTGTTAATATTCATGACTTGTTGGCCACATCAGCTTTGTGACTATCTCTTGCTGAATCTAAGTAGATATTTTTTCTAGTATGAAAGGTATTTTAGATTTAAAAATCATATTACATTGGGAGACAAAATTGAAATTAGCAGATATTATCAGAGGCTCATTTTAAAATTGCTGTCCAGGTTTATTACATGGAAGAAATAAATCATCTACAAAGAGGGTACTGAAGCTCCGGGAAAGATGCTGAAGCTGCTAAACTTGCTCCCGTTCAGTTTTTATTTCTATTCCATGTTTTGTATGCTCCAGTGTCTAAATGCCATTTGGTGGATCTACACCAATGGGATTCTTTGAATTTCCTCAAATCTTTTGTTGAGGCACCAAACTTCACTTGTCCCTGACGTTGATGTGAAATAGCCCCTATCAAAGCAAGGACAGATGAGTGACTAAGGAACACAACCTGATTACCATCTGTCTATTCATGATCATCACCGCAGGCTGACGAGGCGTTCTTCAGGATGATGTTTGCTCTGTGCTGTCCCTGGAGCCCACACAGACGCACACAGAGAATATGAATGTTACAACATGCATAATAGATCTGAGATCAGAACTCCGGCACAACCTATCTGCAATTGAAAAAGTGTTGTTTTTCTTTTATCAGCCCTCTGCGCTTCCCTTATCAGCTCATTTGCATAATTAACCACCGTCCTACCGAGCAGCTGCAGAAGTCATTCCTCCGACTTGGATTTTTGTCTCATTTCGTAATGGTGTCACATCAACACTTTTTGCTTAACAAATTTCGTTTGGGGATTTATGTTTTAAAAAAGAATGCCACTGTCATAAAAGGTAAAAACCTATGTGTTAAGATGCGGGGGGGATGTGTGTGACCTACTGAAGCTTTTTGCAGTGTTAAAGGTTGTCATGTATGAACTGATTTCAATAGCAAAATTGTGAAGTGTGTTGGTTTTAACTTAGTCTGTTCAGGACGTATTTCCGCTTGGTACACAGTTTGATCACAGATCTTTGAGGGTAATATGAATAAGAGCTTTAATTTCCATCCTTTTTAATCATTTGCCTTTTAACTCCGGCACCATAATGCTTTATACTTAACCAAGCAGAACGCCTGTGGACACGGGCTTTGCACTATATGGCCCAATATGAGAGCCATCAGTCTTGTTAAATGGCAATCAAAAGGCATTTATTTTTTCATTGCCAAACAGTCGAGTTTAAGAATATAGCTTGAAACTGAACATTTGTCTCAGCATGTATTTTCAGAATTCATACAGACCACTAACAAAAGAACCAGGGACACTATCCACCAACAATAGATCTGAATGGTGTCTTGACACAGACTGAGGAACTTTTCCATTTCAGTGGATTTTTAAAATAAACATAAATGGGTTTTGATATTAAATATTCACTTAGTAGTATATTACATCACGATGTTATGTTTTATTTACCCAAAACTTTTTCTCAAGTGAACATTTCATCTACAACTGAACTGAAGATGGTTGTGGGAACATTTTCCTTAATCTTACTTTGTGTACAAAGTTTAAAGTTGTATGGCCATCCAACCTCAGTCTGACCTGAAGTTTAATAAGCCACAAAAAAACACTCATCAGCTGCTTACAGCGAACAAATACATCCTAAGGGTTATTTTCTAACTGGCTGACTTGCTGGCAAATGAGCCATTTCGCATTAAGTTGGAAAATTGCAGGTGTTGCTAATCACATTACCGTCAGAGCTGCTCTGTTCAGGCATCACACTAAGCCACACAGTGTGACAAAGCACCAGCATTCAGAGGGTGCTGCTAAGGCCACTTCATCATTAATGTTGTTATTTACACCTGGGCTCGTCCTGCTGTGGCGTGTTGTTGGCATGTGTTTGGTGAAAAAGCCTAACAGTTACATATTCAACGGTATTGGAAGTGTCCAGTCGCTCTACAGGATAGAAGAGTGTTTTGTCGCTTTCTTGGCCCCCGCCAAGCTTTGGATGTTACGCTAATCGTTTTAAAAACGTTTGGCTTCTTTCCAAATCTACACATCACAAATTAGATTTGTTTTTGATTACAACACTAAGCACCTTGGCGACAAATAAATTGGAAATGAACTTCATCACAGAAAGGTGTGACTGATGGTCTGCCTCCTTACTCCCCTCAGAGCAGAAGAGAATTTCTGTTTTGGAAGCATTCCTTCTCTGCTAGATCCTCTTCTGATACGATTAGTGGGCTGCCTGTACTGTCCTGTGAGAAACCTGCCATGTGTTTATGAGTGTGCGCTCAGGACGTGACATAAAAGTGCACATGAAGGTCAGCTGATGCAATGCAGCCTCATGAGCACAGGGGGATTTCAACACTTTTTTTTTTTTTTTTTTGAAAAATGCTCCAGGGAAGGTGACTTTGCTGCTGTGCGATGAGTCGTCAGACTCTCATTGTTTTCCCCCATCATTTCTGAAATTGCAGCTGTGTGCACCTGCTTTCTTTTTTTATCCTCCATTGCCACGCAGTCCCTGCGCCGCCTCTCCTACATTGACATTCTTAATATGGCCTCTGTTTCTCCCTCTGTCCCTGCAGGCTCGCTGACAGTGTCCATCACAGACATGCGTGCTCCAGTGGTGGGGGGCTCCGGGGGGGTCTACGCTTTGTGCTCAGCGCATCTGGCCAATGTCGTCATGGTAACAGCCACCATCAGCAGCAGCAGCAGCAGCATCGTCACCATCATCAAATTTGCTCCATTGTTAGATCTGGGAAAGGTTTTCGATAGACAAGAAGTGTCATAGACATTCCACACCATCCAACGGCATCTACCTGAGTGTTGCGTGATTTTTTAACCCCCCCCCCCACCTTTTCCATCTGTGTTGAGAAATCTCAAGTGAATAGTGAACAGGCGGTAAAGAGTCTTATATAGATTACTTAGGCTGCTTATTTGTGCACACTGAAAAAGAGGAAATCCACATCCTTGAATCTCCCCAAGAGGCTTTTTTCAGCCTCTATTTTTATGTCCCTGTCACTGTGCCCCTATGTGGAGAGCTTTCCGCATTCTTTTCAACTCTAAAGGCAGTGCTAGATCTGATGAATCACTTTAACTAATGTCACCGTTCACTGTGGGCAGCCGAGATGCCAGCAGAAATGGAAATCAAAGCGTGCTGACAGGCCCAAAGCAAGTGTGCTTGTTGCAGTTAGCAGTTTGTTTGGTCTGTTACACACGATGGAAGCATGTTGTTAGGAAATTCTTCAAGGCACCTCTTAGTTCTGCTCTGAAGAGTTCTTTTCTTCTTTTGCCTTTTTTTTCCGTTTTTTGTTCTTTTAGCTTTTAAGCTTTGAATCTCAAAACCTTTTTTCCAGTCTCAACCCAGTAGATTCCAAGCCATCTGCCATCAAGCACCATCATCTGGTTAACTCGAAATAGATTTTTAGGTTCAGTGAGTTTTCGGGCGCGACAGTGTGCCTAACTCATATAGGCTTATCTGAAGTCCCACAGCTCCGGCCGCATGGTCAAAATACATCTTATAGGGTACAAATTCAGCTTTTGACATTGCGCTTCAATCTCATGATTGTTGATATTTCACCTGATTAAATTTGAATAGTACTTGTCTGCGGAGAGTCACTAGCACAGGGTCTCACTCAGAGCCAGGACAGACAGGAATTTGGCTGATTATTCATCTTGTGGAGTGCATCTATCAGTATGATTTGTTTTTGTTTTCCCCAGAGAGTTACAGACGTTTCTACATTTCCCAATTCTCACATTCCCTTAAATTATAGCCGCCCTTATTAATAAAGCACCAGTGAGTTGGAACCAGTAAGATTAGGGAGGCCAGGTGTATAACCACAAGTCTCCTGTAAGTGCGCCCACTTCTTCATATAGGTATAGAGGTTGTTGTTGTTTTTTTCTCTTCTCTGAGCTGCTTTTGCCAGGATGCTCATATTCTCGTGTATGTGGTGGTTGTGTGCGTCGTGATAGTTCTGTGCTGACAAAACACATTTGCTCTCTGTTGCAGAACTGGGCCGGAATGCGCTGTCCGTACAAGCTTCTCCGCATGATCCTGGCACTTGTTTGCAGTAGGTTCTCTTAATTTCCCCCTCAAATCACTCTCTTCCTTTTATGCTGAATTTATAATTCAGCCTTTAAACATTGAGTGTGCATGACGTTTTCAGCATAATTAATGTCCTCACACTGATTAACACACAGACACATCTGAGCGGGGTGTAAAAACCTTTTAAAGCTGAGGAACAGATATGCAACCTAAGCCATCAATGCTAATGAGTCCGAGTGGACATTCTGCTTTGTTTCCAAAGTGCCTGAGTCATGATACTTGTCCTATTTCGCCTCAAGATGGCTGAGACACTGTGAGTGTCATTAGTGAGCAATATGTTTGCTCCATCTGTCCCAGGCCTGCCGCCCCCAAACTCTGCTGGAATGTTAGCTGTCTTCGCGCTGTTTTACAAACCGGCAGAGGATATTACCATATAAAATGAGACACAATTTATGTGTGAGTGGCTGTGAAAACCAACTGTTCGTTTGCTCTGGGTTTACAGTATCAGGTATGGGTTGCAGGGACTTTTTTGAAAGAGCATCAGAATATAACAGAAAACACCCCTTGAAAGGGATTTTTTAAAAATAAAGATCACATTAAATCCTATAGCATTCTTTAACTGCTTGAAGAGGCAGTCTTCGGTCAAAAGTTATTGAAATTGTTGCTTAACAATCACTTTTGGGAAGTGACATCAACTCAGATTTTAGGACCTACGATTTATATACAAAGTGACTCTTTCTCATGATAGGGTAATGAAAACAAATATTAATAGACATAAGCTATTTCAAATGTGCTTGCAGGTAAATACACTCTTTTTGGATTTATATTTAGACAAATAATGACTTGTCTCATATAAATACAATATATTTATCATCAATTTGGAAAAATAATTAATTATTTTTCAATTAAATTATTCTGGCCTCAGTTTCAAAGCTGCTATGAAAATGTTATTATTTTATATTGTGAGGCAACATAATGTGCTAGATTTGTCAAAATAATAGTAAAGAAACTGGAGAACTATTCATTTATACTTGTTGATTTGAAGGCTCATACCACTTTTTTTCAGCTGCAGACAGCTTACTGTGAACTGAAGGAAACAGCTTGGAAGGTCATACTTTGTGTTAATGTTCCCCATAAATACCGAAGGGTATTAAAGACAGATGAAAGTTTTTCATGGGACTTTGGAGCCAAACACTCTCCTGGGTAGACCAGTTGCAAGGACTCTTGGAAGTAAACTCATAACCAGTCTTTTTACTAAAATATTACCCCCTTGGTTTGCTTTTGTGTTGAGTAAAGAAAACATGTCTTTGTAAGATTTATCCATGCTGGGAGATAAACCACTGAAAAGCAACGGAGCCAGCTGTTTCTCACATTTTTTCACATGTCTTTTTGCCAAGATAAGCTAAGCTGATCAGCTTGAAAATCTATCATCATTTCCAGGGAGCCAACAGTCATGTTTCCCAAACTCGGTCATTAAAATAACCCTGCATGGGCATTGACCTCCGTGAGGATTTGCTCCCAGCTCCGGTGATGAGCAGATAACTGTCTGCCTCTGTCTTTTTTTTCCCCGCTCTGTCCTCTGTAGTGAGTTCAGAGGTGGGCCGTGCAGTCTGGCTCCGCTTCTCACCACCGTTGCCCTCCTCGGGTCCACAGCCCAGCTTCATGGCACATCTTTCGGGCGCCGTGGTCGGTATCAGCATGGGGCTGCTGATCCTCCGCAGCTATGAGGAGAGTCTACAGAAACAGTGCTCCTGGTGGGTCATCGTCTTCTCCTTCATAACCTTCCTGCTCTTTGCTATCTTTTGGAACATCTTCGCGTACGAGCTGCTCGGGGTACAGATACCACCTCCTCCCTGATGAAGGCCCCCTCCTGCCGTCCTGTCTTCTTTGACCATAGTTAACCTTCCATTCCCTCCCAAGTTAGACCCAAATGAAATTATTCAAACTAGAAATTGACCAAGAATCTTTTTTTTACAGATACTTTGCAAATCAAAGAAATAAGTCTCTTTTATTAAAGAGGGATTACAGTAGCAACAAGTACAGGTGAAAGTTCCTCGGATCCATATTGAGGAACGTTATATCTTTTTTATATAAATCAGATCTCATCTGCCAGACCAGCGTTAACGTTTCTGTGAATGTTTAGCTTTTTTGCTCTTTTGAAAAGCAGTTTTCATCAGTTTTTTTTCTCTGCTTGCATCTTCCATTCACACAAAGCATGTGCCTCCAGAGAAGGAAGATGTAAGAAAAGAGATGAGAGGTATGCCCTTTAAACTTATGGGATGACAGTGTTATGCTTTCAATCGAAATCTGAATCTGTGCCACTAATTAGATAAGCAAGAAATTTTTCAGCAGAGCTTGTGTCTAGCTGAGGACAGAAATGAAAACAAATACAAAGATAAGTTATAGTATTTCTGTACCACAGTGCTGTCTGTGTTACTCACAGTGGTCACAGAGGCTTTTTGCTAAATTACTTGCACACCAAATAAAAATTCTTCTCACGTACAAAAAGCGTGAAATCTGAAGAAATTAGTTACTCAGAATAGTTACATGCAGGTGTCATTTCTCTGTGGATCTTTTAGTTTAAGGTGAACCTTAATTACTGTCATTTTCCCATCATCTTGAGGACATCAGTATTTCTTCTCCTTGTCTTTTCGTTGTTATGACACCTACACTGTGGATACAGAAACGTAGTTCATACAGTGAGAACCGGATATGAACATGGGAAATTAAAGTGACTGTTGCTGAATCCGATGTCTGACGTGCATTTGCTCAGCACACCATGTAAAATATGCTATGTCATCTTCTGTGGCTTTCAGTGAGATGATGACACACACACACACAAACACATGCATACACTTCTCTTTGTCTGAGAGAGTAGCTGCCGCCTGATTCTGTCGGTCGACGTGGACAAACCGAAGAGAAGAACACCACTAAATTTCACACACATACACTATAGCCTCAGCCTCAACTCGTTCTCACTCGGACAGACTGAACTGGGGCGGGGAGTGGGTGTGTCAACGCCTGACCTCTGACCTGCAAGTCCCAGAAGGCATTGGGGTCCCTACATCAGGCCCGGTCAATACCTCAGTTTCTCATTCTTAGGGACTGTATACATTTGTAAAGGAATGTATCTATAAAAAAAAAAAAAAGTGTTGTTCCGTTGTCCCCGTATTTTATTTGAAATGGATGTGTATATTGTATGTTCATAACCAAGACTATATTTATTTGTACTTTCTTCCTCTTTAAAAGGGAAAAGGAGATAATTTTCAAATGGTGCAAAACTAATGAAATGATTGTCCTGAAAACTCCTGTATGGCTTTGATCCTCTAAAAAGAAAAAATAAGGAGGTAAGATTCCCTGGTATGTTGTGCATCCACCAACAATGAAGCTCTCTTGATTTTATAAATATTCAGTCAGTGCTTTATCAAATAAGCCATAGAAAGAACTAACTGGAGAGGGCAAAAAGTGGAGGAAAAATATGTCTGAAACCTGCTGACTGGTAGCATCAGCTAAATCACTTGGCTTGTATGTGTGTGAGATCCAAAATAAATTCTTTGTGAATAACCCAGCAGGTTAAAAGTAAAAATAACTCAAACTGTGCAAGTACATGCCTGTAAAACCCTGGACTGCTTGAGTTGTTTTCATGTAGCTTTACTCATATTTGCTACTTGTTTGCAAACTTATTTATTGTGAGTGCAGCGTAACTTTACAAGTGCCCGCATATCTAAACCCTGCAGTGTGCAGACACCACGCTGCAGTTCTCCTTCTGCTAATAAGAAATTATAGATGAAGCTTCTGTCATATAATATCTTCAGAGTGATTTGAGCTTTTGGAAAGCTAAGGCGAGGATAGCAATTACAATTACTCAATGCTACATTCCATTTTCCAGTCCCTCAATCAATAATTCATTTAAATCACCAGTACCTACGTAGTTTTTTTTGGGGGGGGTAGTCTTGATGGTCAGCAGTCCTCAGCATTTTCTTCCACATGAAACTGTCAGTAGTGACAGAAGGCTTCATGTTTAATGAGGGGAATAAGTATGAAATAGCCATAATAAGCCATTTTCAGAACCATTTCAGCGAGAAATTATGTGCCAGTATGCAGTAGTGATGTATCCTTGATAGAAACTTGTGTATATCAGGAAATGTTATTGCTTTGGAAAGTAAAGATCTGTTGATGAATAATGCATTCCTATTGGGTTAGCCTATAATGAAGACAAATAGGATACCTGAGAGAGGTTAATGTACCTCTTTAACTTAATGCTCATAGGCAACTAGACAGGATTTTACAAAAAAGGGGGAAATGGATTTATTCTTCTTGAACAAATTACCCGCACATGTGACCCTCTCCAGGGAGTGCACGCAGGACTGATATCAAAGGCTTGTGAAATTCATGTTTTCTCTAAAACCAATAGTGAAAAGACACTTGACTCAGTTATGTTCTTACAAAGTCAAATCCCTGGTGTATGAAAGGTTTTATATGCTTGAGTGTCTTTGGTGGAAAACAGACAGTAGCATCAGCCACCAGGTGGACGTGAATATTTCATGAGTGGTGTTACTTTTCTGTAAGCCAAACCTTATGGGACTGAGCCAATCATAACACACGGACACACACACACGCACAAAGAAAAATAATTCATTTCCTCCTTGTCAAAAGGAGTGTTTGAGACTGTCAGAGAACATGCAACATCTTCGAGACACCAGACACAACAATGTTAGAACGCTTCATAAAAGTGTAAAAGGAATATGTTCTTTTGATATCTTTTTTAAACGGTGGACAGGTGTCCCAGTGACATGAGCTGAATTACAGAAGCCTGTCAATGATAGTGTACTTCACTTCAAATTACCCTTTTTTGTTAAGTCATTCAGAAAATCTGTCTGACTTCTTATTTTTGAAGTCTTGATCAAATTACTTGACAGAACCTATGTGCTTTCCTTTTTTCTTCAATGATTCTTCCTAATTTTCTGTGTCTGTATTTCATCATGAATGGACTTTCTCTTTCCAATTGTTGTGTGCAATAGTCATTCTCTACACTTCTGTCTCCCTATGTCAACCTGTTGTGTTGGTATTCCCCAGAGACTTGTTACAATATACGTATTCTTATGATTAAGCTACTGAAAGGCTGCTTCATTCTTGCCTATTTGCTACATTTTCCATGATCATGTACAGAATTTGAGACAGAAGCCGCTGTGCGAAAATCTGTAGCTGATCTGAGCTGCTGTGTGCCAACAAGCCCGCCAGGTTGCCTTTACTTTGTGTTTCGCTCTTCTCAGCTGTGGGTAACTATCTCTGCAGGACTGTGCAGGTAAAGCAGGCTGCTGTAGCTCCCGATGTAGAACTGTTATTTACGACAACAAAAAAAATGTCTCTGGCTGCTCATCCGTGTGTATATTTGTAATGTCATTTCAAGATTTTCAAAAAGGGCCCCAAAAACTTCAGCTTCATTTAAAAAAAATATTTTGGATATTTGCATTAAAATATTCACAGCAGGGTCTGATAGAAAAATGGTTGTTGAAAAGTTACCTTTCAGAACAGAGAAGAATTATTGAGGTATGAAAAAAAAAGGCACAGATGTCAAAAAAGCCTTTTTTTCCTGATGTGAGGGAACATTTTGTGGTTCGTAACATTACTAAAGTCTTGCTTTGCTAAACATAACTTACATGATCACAAATACTGAGCCACCGTAGGTCATGCAGATACATAGCTTGTGATTTCTCAAAATAATTTGTTTCGTCTGAAACAATAGAATAAGTCATATCTCTGCTGCTGTGGTAGTTTTTCACGAGCTGCTCTCCTGTATCAATAAAATGGTGCCAAGCTTATGTGGCTAAATCTCTCAGACCAGACATGAGGTTGTGCCAAAACAGCGTTTACAAAAAGAAGCTATTTTTCTCTCGGTCAAGAGGAAACTTAAGGAAAACTAAATTTACATATGGATAATTTATATCAAAATCCTCATGAATTACTTCACAAACTATTGTACTTTTTAAATGTTCTGAACTGAACCATTTTATATTGTATATATATGAATATATTTTGTTTTATTTTGTACTGTTCATTGTACTTTGCTTTAATTTAGACAATATAAATAAAGAACAATACTGTGGCCACATCTTTCTGCTTCTTTAGTTTCGGTAACACACAACAATGTTGAGAGGTTTTCTCCTACTTACATGTCATTCTTTTTCTCTTCAGTTATATGTTAAAAAACAAACAACTGGATTATCAGGAACTCTGTTTTTTAATATGAAACTTTATTATCTTTGGGGAAATGTACACAAGTAAAGGCAAACATTGAGTAACTTTCACGCAAAACATTTTAGACTGAGTTTACACAGTTTTTAGCTTCTTTGCAGGTCTTTTCTCCTTGTCAAGGTCTGAGGTTTTCTCCGCCTTGTTACCGCCTTTCAAACTAACAACATTTAAAAGCTGGAGTTGCTGCTTTGTGTCAGTGGCCATCGCCCATAAACACAATTCCAGTCTTTGGGGTGTCCAGTCCTGCTGTGCATCCACTGACAACGATAGTAGTTACAGTTGTATTATTATTCTCCAATATCATAGAATACAAAAAGAACAAATGATGATAAAATTGTTAGCAGCTACCTTTGTTTAGTTTTGCAGACTGTGCAGCCATTCTGTTCAGGTAAAGAGCATAGTGCTTGGCTGTGTACTGGATGGGCTTTAGTCCTGGTACACTCTCCATTGCCTCATCAGACATAAATGCAGTCAGTTCTGGAGCTCCTGCTGCCAAAATAGCTGGGATGAGGTGAAGTTAAACAATTAGGCTCAAATAAATCTGCATGTAGACTTAAAAATCACACAATCTGTTTAATCAGTGTAGGGAGCAGCATCCCGGGAGTCTCCCTGTATGAGTGAGAATTTAATGAAAATTAATCACCCAGTCCTTTAATAGAATATTTTATGGGTGTGAATTATTTAGCTTGCCGCTGTTTGCAAAAGTCCCTAATCATAAAATAAAGGGAAAGTGTGCCAACCTGAGGCAGTGGCCGGACCGACTCCTTTCAAAGAGCTGAGCTCTGAGATCGCAGCTGGCACATCAGGCAGGAGGCTGAAAGCCTTGCTGGAACACTTCTCCACGATGTCCCCACTGTTAGATGCAACAAGCTGCTGCAGCCTCGGCCTGAACTTCCCTCTCTGTGGACAAACCCACACACCCATTCCAAGGACAAAACTTTGAATGACTTGTTACTAGAAGACTGTGCCAGGATAGTTTGAGTGGCATACATTTGTAGGCACTTAAAAGAGGAATGTCACTCAAGTTTTCATTTATGATTGTTATGATGTGTGCTTACAGTGAGCTTCCACTCCATCAGTTTCACCAGCTCTGACAGAGTTATGTGTTTGACAGATCGACTTGAAATCAGTGTGGGCAGCTCCTCTTGGTACCTGAATACGGACACAAAAGTCAGCAACACAATCTAAAAAAAAAAAAAAAAGGTTCAAGCAGACAAATCACTGAATATTACCTTTGGGAATTTGGTTTTCAACAAAAAATGTTGATGATAAGAACCAGAAAGACATAAAAATGTCTATCCAACATTCCATCCTCAAACTTAGAGCTTTCACCAATCTTCTGTTCTAAAAATACCCAAACTTATATTTGACCTTTTGTAAAGAAACCTGTGTGGATCAAAACCAACTTCCGATCATCTGAGCCAATCTTAACTTTTTAGGGAAATATCTGCCCAGAATATAAAGTCCAATAAAAATGCATACTCGTGAAATTTTCAATGGCTATATCTTAGTCAATGAAATAAGCCAAACAGGTCAGATTGCTAAACCTCCATAATCAAAATGACAGGTTGCCACGTACATTTCTTTGACCCCTGAACTTCCTTTGCAATGTTAAGGCAAGGACAATAAACATCAAACCTGCAGCTGATAAAGCCCTACTAGCTCCTGAATAACAGAGAACCTCTCAATCAAAGAAGACTGCTGAAAGCTCTGGTAAATATAACTTGGCATTGTGTAGAAATGTTTTTTATAAGACATAGATTATTGCAGGGAGAGAGAAAAAAAATTACCACTTGTCAAGCTTTAATAGGCTACCGGCTTTCTTGGTTTTAGCCTTAGCCTCCACAACAGCCCAGTACTTGTCATACACACTTCTCCATGAGGACGGTTCCTCACAGGTAAACAGAGCACTCATGTCTGCAGGATATTCACAGCATGAACTACAAACAGAAAAGCATGCTTTAATATCTAATCAAACCTGTATTTTTACTTTGATGTTGTACAGCATTGCAAATGTGTTCTTTTAGTAGAGAAACTAATTGGTGACATACCATCCTTCTTCTACGTCGACATTAAGCAAGCCTTTACCCCGCCGAAAGAACAAATAGTGCTTCCGATATTAGACATGGAATTCTCGCGAGAAGATAGTAAACCACTACTTCCGGTGCTGTGAGCACTTAGCAACAGCTTCAACTTCATAAGGTTTGTTCGTTCAAAATATTTCACATTTAACCTTAAATTTCTGTTGTCTTGTACAGGGATATCATTTTAAATTGACATGGTTTCTGTCTAAATATTTTGTAGACCTAAGCATTTGTCGTGCGCCTTTTGCTCCCGCAAAAGTGTCCCATTCTTGTGTTAGCCTGCTAACATTAGCGTTCACATTCCAGTCATGTTGATGGTGCGACTGCACAGACTGTTCTGCGAGTTTGGTTATTTGTAGAAAACTTAATAACAGGGAGAACGCTTGTGGGGATACGACTGTTTTATGTCCATTTCATGGACAGCAAGATAGTGGTTTTACACCAGTGATTTCACGAGCTTGAACAATTTCACATGAGCCCTAATCGATCAAGTGATCTAAGCAAACAAACTTAACCAATACTGGCTAAGTAGGACACATTTACCCCCTGCATCTACTGCTTTTGATAATATGTTGAGGTACATAATACTAGAAAAAGTAGGTGCCTGGCAGCTATTTAACAAAGCAGTATATTTCCGTTTTCCCTCTTCATTACATGTTAAAGAAGTAAATGTATTGCTATGAATAGAAATGAAAGGTTGTATTTATTGTTTGTGGATAATTCCGTTTTCAATCCATTTTACTGAAATGAACTCCACTGTTCTCTCTGTTTTTGGGGCGTTAATAACTGCATTATACCAGTTTGAAAACTGTTGTTTGTGGTCCAATAAGTTTACCTCTTGTGTAATTCTAACTAAGCTCAATTTAACAACTGACTACAGGCGAAAGGAATTTGACCCAACCCTGCCCGCCGTATGCATCTGCTTGTACTTGGATGGGTTTTTCGTTTAAGTAATAATTTGTCGATTATGTATACTTGCACACAAAAAGCTGATTTTAACATCTGTGCAGTATCAATGTACCAGCAAGGTTTTACAAGAGATTGCTTTGCTTTAAATTGTGATAAACGGTAAATAACTGCTCTAATCCACACAAACCCAGATAGTATCTTGCCCTGTGTTGCTGTTATGATGGTCCGTCATTCGCCAGTTGGATGTCATGGGGGCACATGAAAGGGACTCTATCCAGTTGCAGATATTTATGAAGGGAGCATCTCTTTGCCAAGTAAGTACAGCACCTGTCATATTCTTAGAAAAGTTAAAATACATTTGATATTGTTCATAAATTGTTGTGCTACAGACTGCCCCCTCTGTTGTCCCACTCTAATCCCAAAGACAAAGTTCAATGTTGGTCTATTTTTGTACTTTATTTGACTGCCACCTGGTGGTGATGTGTTAAACCAACTTCTCAACAACACCTCAAACTCTACACTATGTTTTAATCGTTTTCCATTTATTGAACATGTAGCTGAAGGAACATGGAGAAAATGTCACGGGTTACCACAGCCCTCAGCAGCAATGCCATAAATGGGCGAACCATGTTCTGCCACTTGGACGCTCCTGCCAACGCCATCAGCGTGTGCCGCGATGCGTCGCAGGTGGTCGTCGCAGGGCGAAACATATTCAAGATCTACACCATCGAGGAGGAGCAGTTTGTGGAGAAGTTGAACCTTCGCGTTGGCCGCAAACCGTCCCTGAACTTTAGCTGTGCCGATGTCATGTGGCACCAGATGGAGGAGAACCTGCTGGCCACAGCCGCCACCAATGGGGCGGTGGTGACGTGGAACCTTGGGAAGCCGTCTCGCAACAAGCAGGACCAGCTGTTTACTGAGCACAAGCGCACCGTCAACAAGGTGTGTTTCCACCCTACTGAGGTGTACATGCTGCTGAGTGGTTCACAGGACGGCTTCATGAAGTGCTTTGACCTGCGCAAAAAGGAGTCTGTTAGTACTTTCTCAGGTACTTGGATGGATTTATTGTCTGTAGTAATTCTACAAATGTAAGATGTTACATCTGATATGTGCTGTTGCAAAGCAGCTTTGTTTAATTATTAATTTTGGAGTGTGATAGTTTAGAAAATGACTGTAAGAAGTTAGTGGAGGGCTTCAACTTCTGTTCAAAGCAGCTATTCGCCTTGTCTGGAGTTGTCTCTTTCTGTCAGTGAACAAGTCTTTCAGTTTTGGACTGAAATGGAATAGCTCTGCTTTTAAAATAATGAAGTGTCTTTCTCACTGATCTGTATTAATGATTTATGTCCTCTAATTTGCCTTGTGCCTCCTAATCCTCATCTAGGTCAGTCAGAGAGTGTAAGAGATGTCCAGTTCAGCATGAAGGATTATTTTACATTTGCTGCATCTTTTGAAAATGGCAACGTCCAACTGTGGGACATTAGACGACCAGATCGGTATGAGAGAATGTTCACTGCGCATACCGGCCCTGTGTTCTGCTGCGACTGGCATCCCGATGACAGGTACAAGGAAAAGAGAGGATTGTGTTTTGTTTGTTTTTTCAGCAAGCAAGCACAAGATTTCAGAGATTATAAATGTGCTCAGTCTATTTGTCACTTCCCATTTTGGAAATTGCATCTTATTCTCTGTTGTATATTCTCTGGAGGATGAATATCCATCTGTCTCTGTCAGGAATATGACAGCTGTCATTGTCCACCTTGTTTGTTTCTCAGGGGTTGGCTGGCTACAGGCGGCAGAGACAAGATGGTGAAGGTTTGGGACATGACCACCAACAGGGCCAAGGAGATCTATTGTGTGCAGACGATTGCATCAGTGGCCCGAGTTAAATGGCGACCTGAGAGGAAGTTTAATTTGGCTACCTGTTCCATGATGGTGGATCACAACATATACGTGTGGGATATTCGCAGACCTTTCATACCGTTTGCCACCTTCGAGGAACACAAAGACGTGACCACTGGTATTGTGTGGCGCCACCAGCATGACCCTCATTTTCTGCTCTCGGGCTCTAAAGACAGTACTCTCTACCAGCATATGTTTAAGGACGCCACTCGTCCCGTGGACAAGGCCAACCCCGAGGGTCTGTGCTTCGGACTGATGGGCGACTTGGCCTTTGCAGCCAAAGAGAGTCTGATCAGTAGCGACACCAACAGGAAGCCCTACCCCGGAGGCGACCGCCGCTACCCCATCTTTTTCTTCAAGAAAGCTGACCCGACAGAACAATTTGCGCACGTGTCCAGTGCTCTTAGTGTCTTTGAAACAGACTTGGACAGTAACCGCATGGACTGGTTTGTAAAGACTGCACAGCTCTACCTCCTCAGTGGAAAACCGTTTGCTGAGCTGTGTGATCACAATGCCAAGGTGGCCCAGGAGCTCAAAAGACCTCAGGTAAAACACATGTGTGTGCTGTATAGTGTTCCTCCAGTGAACATCGTTTTTGCCTTTTTTCAAATTTTTTGTATAGCCCAGGTATTCCAGCTGTTAATTAGCCACAAAAGCACACAGCCTTAGAAGATGCTAGTTTAAATATTTTGTAAACATTTTTAAACCTTACAATAAAAGTTCAGTCTTTTTTCTGGCAGCAATTTAACAAGTAAATTCCGTTTAGTTTGGTTCGTGAAGCTGTTGCTAAAGGCGCCTCTGGCTGAATGAAATATGTTAGTAAGTCATAACCGCAGACTGTAAAAGACTGTTGTAAAGAACAACCCTGGCAGATGATGTAAATATTACTGGAGTTGTGTTCCACTTTGGGAAACACTGATGTCATTGTTCCGTGGAGGCTTATTTGTTCACTCTGTGAATGATATGATCTTGTCATATACAAAGGTTTCCACTACATGGACCATGCTGAGAATCATGTTCTCAGACCCAGCAAACCTGGCCACCCCCGGTCCTAACCACAACCTCATTAAACTCGGCTCCTTACCTTTAATGAACAGGTAAACTTATGTTGTTGTTTTCTTTTATATGCCATTTAAAAACAATAGTTTCAGACATTTATATGGGCTGGCGTTTTACTTTCAGCTTCAGTATGAAGGACATGGGTCCAGGACTGGGCACTGAGAGCAGATTAGAGCGTAGTAAAGGCGAGAGCAGACAGGATAACATCCACCTGGAGTCTGGGAACTCGCACATCAGCAATAACAATGAAGGTGAGAGTAATGTTACTCTTTCAAATGCCACCTGGGCACTGAGGATTCTCATGGCCTTGTATCGTTCTTTTAACAATCACGACATAACCAACATTACTCCCATTGTAGAAAATGAGGAGACGGAGGGCAGCGATGGTCCGACAGAATACTTGTTTGGCGATGCAGAGTTAGATGACGATGACCTCTATTCCATGGAGCATGACAATCAAACGGGTCAGTCTCAGCGGGATCACGAAGGAAACTCAAATCTGCCGGCGTCAATGCCTGCTATTTATAACTGAAGCTCTGCTCAGCATTCTTTTTTGTCTGGTATTGTGTCTGCTTCCTTTATGAGAACAGAAGAGCCGGAGTACACACTGCCCCAGGAGGCCTTCCAGCTACGCCACGAGATCATTGACAATCCATCTGCTCCAGAGCACCTTCAGCAGGACAAGGCCGACTCCCCACACGTCAGCGGCAACGAGGCGGAAATCACCTGCCTGACACCTATCGAGTCTTTCTCTCTCATCTCCATTTCCCAGCCACAGTTCACCTCAGTTCTACCCACCAGCTTTTTCTGTCCTATTGTGCGGGAGATGTTGAGCTACTATGCTGAGCAAGGTGATGTGCAGATGGCTGTGTCCGTGCTCATCGTCTTGGGGGAAAGGATTCGTAAGGAGATTGATGACCTCACCCAGGTCAGAAAATTAACTCCTTGTCTTGTGTAGTGAAAACTGCCATAAAATATAGCTAGAATTATTTAGAGGTCTCAATTGTGTTGACATAGACTTAAATCTCAGAATTGACATGCCCAGCCTCAGAGAAAGGTTCTAAAACTTTCTTTTTCCTTTAATTGACATTGAAGTCATTAAGTAGACTGTTTTCCTTAAAAAGTAGAAACGGTTATTTGGGTCATATTTTTTCATTAATACAAAAATAATCACTCTCGGCTAGTTTTTGATTAAGAATTTGTTTCTTTTCAGGAACACTGGTACATGTCCTACATAGACCTGCTGCAACGATTTGAGCTGTGGAACGTGTCCAATGAGGTCATTAAGCTGAGTACCTGCAGCGCCATCACCTGCCTGAACCAGACGTCTACAACTCTGCACATAAACTGCAGCAACTGCAAGCGACCAATGAGCAACAAGGGCTGGATCTGTGACAGGTAGCCGCACAGCCCCGCCGTTCGACTATTCTACAGAGAACACACCGATTTCTGTCACTCTCAGCGTGAAGTACAAATGTGAAGCAGAACTGGCAGATGGTTAAAAGCAGAGTGATGGATGGGTGTAAATTTGATCCTTCCGTCACGCACAGTTGGCCTGTCTAGATTCACCACCTCTTAAAAAAACCTGACAAATCTAGTAAACTGTCCACTGTGACTAGAGGATAAATGCAATTTTAAGGAAAATTGGTCCTGTTGGAAATGTACAAAATTGGCACCTCCATCAAATATATTGGAACTTTGATGAATGGTAAAGCCCTTAGAGGCCCTAATAGCACCAAGAAAAGTGAGGATCCATTTTTTGCTACTACGGTCTGCACGTAGTAGGTCCAGGTTCAGACTGTTCTCATTAGTGATTCTACAATGGTGGAACAGGTCACCAATTACTCTCTTTACCTTCAAGATGTACAATTGGAGAGGCTCTACCTGTACTGCAGTTCTAATTGGATTTAATACAAAATGAAGTGACCAGGGCTGGTTAGCACTGCCCCCTCACAGCAAGAAGTTTTTAGTACAAATGTCAGCTGGTTCGTTACTAAGTGTATCTACAATTCAGTCTTCTCACAAAGCATCTTTCTTTCAGGTGCCACCAGTGTGCCAGTGTTTGTGCGGTGTGCCACCATGTGGTGAAGGGACTGTTTGTGTGGTGTCAAGGCTGCAGCCACGGTGGACATCTGGAGCACATCATGAACTGGCTTAAGAGCAGCACGCACTGCCCTGCAGGCTGCGGTCACCTGTGTGAGTACACATGAGCGAGTCACACCCATCGATCACGCAGCTGGTTCTCCGTGTGAGTGGGATACATCCTCACACCAATCGGGATCTCGCACACAAACGTGGGTCGGGCCAAAGAGAGATTCCCATGCTTCCAGGTGGACTGGAATTTTTTGTGGAAGGGCGGCTTTGAAGAGAGATCAGACAAAGGTTCTAAAGGAGGACCTTTCTGGGAACCCATTCAAGAGCAAACACAATCACAGGAACTCTTGATCACATGAGATTCAAACCATCCGTGAATTCATGTGTACGGCGGTGATAACGGCTTTTGAATGTGTTAATTTATATTTGCTGCATTTTATATAGTTTTTAAACCTGTCTGTTAGTGACTTAGTGGCTCATTTCAAGTGAATTACAAATATTTGTACATGATATGTAAGAGGTACTATAAATAATGTTCCTTAAAGTTATATTGGAAAAAGCTAGATCTCTGAATTCAAGCAAAAATATTAAAGCACTAGTTTGACATCCACACCTGTTTGTCCCTCAGAAGCTTGACTTTCTAGACGTATACGTAAAAAATGTATCGGTAAAGCAGAGAAACCACATCACCTTGAAGAGGCCAAAATATCCCAAGGAGACACCAGCCAACATCTCTAGCCTCTAATCCAGCAGCTAGACAGAGTAATCTCCTCAAATCTCACTGCTCTCTTCTCAGGTTATTATTATGACGACTCGGCATCACAAGTGTTTATCCTCCTCCCCTATCGGCAGTAAGGACTGTAAATAAGACTCAGAATGCCTACATTGTCATTAGACGTAGTATAACGAGATTAGAGCCAACAAAAACAGAGCAGACTCAGAGGTATCCTAAACTCAGTAAAAGCTAAAGTGCTCGATCTGATGTAGCACATTAGTTTGCAAGGCAGCAAGATGAAACTATTTGTGAATCAAATAATAACGCTTGATAAATTACATTCTAACTCTCAACGGCCAACATGTTTTTTTGTGCATAGGTTGTTACAGATCACAAATAGTCACCGCTCTGATTTACTGCCAAGGCCCTGGGCAGGAATCTTTGTGTCATTGGGATATTCCCTCAGTCTGCTGAGATATGAACATTAGGGAGGTGACATATTGAACAGATTGTCAGACTAATGTCAACCATTAGATAAGGTCGGGTGCCTCTCTGGAATGAAAAGATACCAGATTCAGTTCTGTTCTCCATTTTTTAATGTGCGATTATACACAGTCAGCTATAATGTTAAAACACGCTTTCTTGCGGAAGTGAAGTGAGAATACAGCAGATAAAGACGTCATCCAGAAATATTTAGACATCATCAGGGTTTCCGTAACATGTAATTGATCATGGTGCACCGCCACGTCAAATTAAAAGCCGCCACACCTTCGGAATAGTTTTTTTTCTTTCTTTATATCTGTATTTGGTTAATTATACAAACCACCAGAAAGTTTAAACATGAATATCACGAAATGTTAAAATTATCTTTATTTTTCAAAACCATACCGTCAAGTCTTTCCTGCTTGCCAAGCTGCTACAGTTGTGCGCTGCTTGTAGGAAAACGAGAGGACAGTTGTGATTAGATTTAAATACTTAAAAAAAATAATTGAAATGCTTAATACTTAAAGATTTTTCTTAAAGCTGTTTTTCTGTTTTAAAACACAGTTTCATCTGAACTGTGAGCCAGGTGATCACATTAATCAATCACGGGATCCACCATCACATTTTCCTGACAGGTTTTGATTCACAGCAGAATATAATAAGGTTTTCAGGTTAAACAACATGATTGGGTTTTTTGTTGTAGAAATTACAAAATCTCATCATAGTATTCTCAAATCAGTTAATAATCATATAATCACATGTTGGGTTTAAAAAAAAAAACTTTCACCAGGACATTTATTCACGACACAAATAAAATTGAATCTGCAGAACATTTTAGATTCCAATAAGACGGCTTTACCTCTCCATGTCATGCTCGTCTTGAGCGTGACTTGAACCATAACTGGAACAGTGAGACTCGCCGCCTTATTACAGCCTGTGTTCCAGACTCGGTCCCTCCCTCCTCACTGTGTAGGTTGTGCGACTCGACTACAGGAGTCCACCATACACCAGCACAAGCATGAGGGCGGCGCGCCCTTCCTGCCTGCTTGTCGTTTCCATGCTGCAGCTGTGTTGCCCGTGTCCTCGCCGGGCGAGCTCTGGTCCACCAGCCAGGTCCAGATGAGCGGCCGGTGAGCTCCCCCCCGCGCTGCGTTGCTCCAGCAGGGCCGGCCTAGTCTTTGGCCTTCTCCCATTTCACTGAGGTTGTTCAGGGTGGTTAGATCACCCTCCGTCGAATATTGGCAGGAGCTCTTTAAAAATACAAAGCAATTGGGTCGATCATTTGATCTAAAAAAAACAAATAAAATCTTGCTTACTGCGATGATGTGGTACCTGAAAAGCTTATGGCCGTTCCCAGCTGTCTGCTACTTTTTCAGGGGCACTCAGTCGCCTCAGGCTCTGAAGCAGAGTTTGCAGACTCCCTGCTGGGATGACAGAAAAACCCAACATCAGCTGGACACTACGGTCTCCACAAAAGAGATACTTCAATCTTACACCAACTCACCCAATTCTTCTTCATAGGAATCCAGCTTCTTCATCAGCTCTACAAAACTGGAACACGTTTGTGGATCTCCAGCTACAGGAAGAGGTCAAAGTCTGTTTATTTTTGTTTCCTGGACTGAATATAAAACACACACCTCTCAACTCACCTTGAACACCAGTGTCACTTTTTGCTTTATCTCCCAAAACCTTGTAAGAGCCAGTGTTCCCGTCGGCGGTGAAACTGGAGAGCAGCTCGGTGTGGCATGCCCTGGCCTTGGCCAGTGTGGCGCTCATGTCTTGTGCCAGCCTGTGGTTCTCCACCAGCTCAGAGTGGACACTCTTCCATGCCATTTTGTCCTCCATCAGGCATCCCTCCATCACAGTGCGCAGCTCCTTTTCCTGGGACATCTGACTCTGCAGGGCCTCGGCCTCCTCGCAGCGCTACACAGGCGGAGTTGGAGGGAAAGTGGTTAAAAGGTTCACCGTGGAGTCAAAGCGTGAAGCCGCAGTGAGTCTTTGTTCAACAGCTACCTTGTGTAACTGGATGGCCATTTCTTGCATCTCAGCTTCAAGCTGATCCGCATAAGCCTGTTCCAGGGAATCGCTGGGGGGGCGAGCGCCGCTGTGCCATCTCGCAATGGCTGATGTCATTTTCCGCTTGGGTCCAAACAGTCTAGAGAGCAAGAACAATTTCAGCACAACACAAAAAGTCAAACGCTGCATGTGTTAAAGGTCTGACATCTTACGTGATCCCTATTTCCTTTAGATCATTCTCTGTCAGGGTGAGAAATATCCTTAAGTCAATGTCTTGTTCTTCAAGTAATGAAAGGTACTTGGAGAAGCCAATTTGCTCCAAGAACTCTGCCAGATCCTGCAGAAACAGCACCTTTAGGTCCAAGAGTTTAAACTACTATCCAAATAAAAAGATAAACTACGACGCATGCTCTAAACTTATGGATATAAAAAATGGGCTTAATCAGGTACCTTTGGTCCAGAGTAGGAAGGTGGGGGCCCCAGAGGTGGGTGTTTTCCACAGTGCCCTGCTCCACTGGAATGGGCTCCTTCGCTGTTTCCATGGCGAGCTTTGCCTTTTGAGTGGTGACCCTTAGTTACTCTGCGAGAGCTGGTCTTTTTGCTCTGATCAGAGACCTGGTGGAGAGAGAGAGAGAGAGAAGGGTCTGTCAGTTTATAAAGAGGGGAAAAAACAAACCCAAATCCAGAGCGCAGCGCGCTGTGCTCACCTCGTTACTCTCCACAGAGCCTTCCCAGTTGAGTCCGGTTGTATTCGGTAGGCCTTCACTGCTGCTGCTGCTGCTCCTCATGGTGGGCATGTCGTTGTCAAAGAACGGACTATCATCTGCAAGGATATATCAGAAACGATTCTTTACGTATCAAAGGACACGAGCACTCCTCAGAAACTGCTGTGTTCCTGTGGTCTGACCTCGGCTGCTGTGGCTCTGACCGTCCAGCTCATTGATGGGTGAGGTCACGTCGCGGTAGCATAGGCCATCGCTCTGTCCACCGATATCACGAAACATGTAGCCTGGCAGCACATTTGGAGGCTCTGTGAGAAGAAGATGATGTAAAAAAAAACAAAAAAAAACTGCCCCACCACAGTGACTGTTGGGCTCAGGTAAACGTTGGGAAAGAGGGCATTTCCTGTCGCCTACCGCACTGTTTGCTGGTGCCTCCTACTCTGAACTTGGCGATGGCCTGAGGCCCATCGTGGATGCTAACGCCCTTAGCTCGACTTCGACTCGAACGAATCCTCTGGGGCGTGCTGTCCGAGTCCTCTGAGGAGCTCAGGTCCTCAAACTGCCCTGACAAATTGGAATGTGAAAAAGAAAACAAAACAAAATCACTGAGCAAAGTGAGAACATCAACTTATAGTGTCAAACTATAAAAGGCGGTCCTGGGTTCTACCGGTACCTGGTTTAATTCTAGGAGAATGTGAGTCAATGAGGCCGATGATCTTGGTGTAGCCGTACAGACCAGCAAGAGCACGTGCAGTCTCCCCTTTAGCGTTGCGAACATTCACTTTAACTCTCTGTGCATTAAGAAAAAAAGGACCCGTCATTGTCCATCCAGTTTGTGACTGGTTGTGTTAATTGGCATATGAGTCAGTTTATTTTAGTGTTAGAAAGTGAGCAGTCTTTGACAACCAACAAGAAGTATGTTTACAGCCAGTAACCATCTCACGTGATCAAGCAGGTACTGGACAATGATTTCATGTCCAGATGCAGCGGCCTCCATCAGAGGAGTGAAACCAGATCCCGGCTCCCTGAGCAAAAAGGGGACGAAAGCCTTAGAAAACAAAACGTTCCGGTAGATTACTGTTGCTTTGGTTTATAAGATGTACACAGACACTGACTTCACATTGGCATCGGCGTTGTTGTCCAGCAGGAACTTGACCATCTGCTGGTGGCCTGTGCTCGTACAGTGGAACAGAGCCGTCCAGCCTCTGGAGTCCTTTAGTTCTAATTCTGCCCCTTGCTTAAGATAAAAAAAACAACAACTGAGGGATGATGTTGTGATGTCAGCTAAAAAAACTTGTTCATTTAAAAAGCCATATTTTCAGTGTTATTTTACCTGAAGCAGAAAATATGCTATGCTCTCATTGCCACAGCTGGCTGCCAGCATCAGGGGAGTGAGTCCTTTGGAAGTTGTGGCATTTACATTCACCCCAGCCTCCAGCAGAAGGTTTGCAATGTTGTCATGACCGATGTAAGCGGCATACATGAGCGGGGTCCATCCTCCATTGTTCTTTCCATCCAGGTTCACCTCACGCCTGGGAACCAACATAAGTGTGTAAGATCACGGGGGAGACAACCACAGCAGGTTCATAGATGAGGTAAGTTTCCAAAACAGACTTTTGAATGCACTCAGCCACCACGTCGTACTGGCCGATGGAGCAGGCGGTGTGGAGGTCCAGGGGGACATTCAGCTCCTCCGGACGCAGCAGGGTGTCCCCCAGCCACATGGACAGGCTGGCCCCCAGCTGCTCCGACTCACTGGCCTCATCGCTCAACTCCGACATTTTCACCTGGGAACACCCAACGCTTTCACTGTCAAATCCTAAACTCACTCCATTCCCCTTGCTTTCTGACCATTTTCGTGAGAATGCAAAAAGTTGCTGTGTTTTGTAACAAGTCCCCTGCAGGCGAACAAACCTTAAACACAGATGTTTAACCGCTGTTACTGCACAGCTCGTGCTGATTTGAGATTCCAGCTTGTTCTCAACATTGCTCTCAAAGCTAATTTAGCTTAGCAGCTGAACAACATATTCACCATAACGCTAGACTTCTACCACACGTAATAAACAGACAAACCAATAATACACAGCTAATCTCGTGTTTATGGGTGTAAATATGTCTAACTGATTTTTTTTTTTTTAATGGGGCGAAAAACTTACAGTAGGTAGGAAGACAGTTTATTTCATCAGCTGCTCAAAGTTTTCGTGTTATGTATGTCACATCCAAATGAGTCCGTGCGGAAACACACCCGCCCATTCCTTTTTGAAATAATAAAGCGGGAAATAGTTTACCGGCCCATGAACGCAGTAAGAGAGGTCCTGTACAGAAGTCGCTTTGTCTGTTGACATTGATAACATTTTGAAATAAGCAGGTATTACTGAATTTCGTTGAATGATCAGTCAAATGCAGGGGATGACTACGAGCAAGGGAGAATGGAAAGCAAAGAGAATTGAGGCTGGTTGTGTGCTTTGCTGAATTATGCAATTAGCGCTGCACAACTTGTTGAACGAAATGTTTATTTAGAAATATGGCAAAAAAATAAAACAATTGTAGGTTTAACCAGTAAGATTTTGTGATTTGTCTTTCCAAGTCCCATTCTTTTAGAATGTCTATCCACGGTCGCCCAGCGTTCTGCTTTGGCTGCACTTGTTTCCACCATAAGACACAGTTAGTACTTTGCTTTCAGGATACACGGCTTAAAGGAAATTAAAACAAAACTCCTCTTTGGAAGGAACAAACATGAAAGCTGAGGTGTCTTCTTGAGTCTGTGGTATTGGTTTTGCATCAGCCTCTGCTTTGCTTTTTGGCTCGTCCCCCTCTGTGGTTGTGGGTTGGGTTTTGACCTCAGCCCTCCGATGGAAAACAGACTTCTTTGGGGAATCTGATACAACTTTGACCTTAGATGACGCAACCTCTGTCGAAGAAAGAGATATCTGTCGATTAACAACACTTCGGAAATCTTTACTGCACAAACTAATACACTGCATTAATCATCTCACCACTCTGGATGAGTTTGAACTGCCGGCTCTTCTCATCCTCCATTTTTTTCCTGTAGTCTCCAGTCATGGCTCGCATCACCTGCCTCTTCTTGACCAGGGGAGCTTTGGAGCTACGCAGAGTCTTCAGAGCACGTGAGGCCTCTTCCTCTGCAGCAAAACAGGCAACATCCTTTAGGCAACTTCAGGTGATCATGCATGGAGAATTATTTTCTTGCTTATTACCAAAATTAGTATTTGGGATTCTTTTGGATCAGAAGGTCAATTTCTGAATTTTTTTATTTTTTTTTATTTCAATCATATTTTGATAATTGCTCAATATATTTTAATCTCCCTGTGGTTGTATTTGGAACATTTCAGAAATTTCCACTGCTTTTGTGGACATTTCATGATTCACAGGGGCCATTCTCATTGTATTTATAGCTGTTTAATTTTGGTAGTGTTTTTTTATGCTATATTTAATTTTAATTTACGTTATGAAATGTCAAGTTTTGGTCCGCTGCATGATTTTGGATATCTTAGTTCTTGTTAATTTTTTTAGTCACATTTGGAACATTTTGTTGCTTATTATTTTTTCTTATGAAACCTGATGAGAACTAACTCTGTTTTGGTGTTCCTTTCTGCGACTTCATTCCTAATTCCAGCTGCTCAATGCACCAGTCTAGCTGTCTGTTCAACTCCTCTTCTGAGTTCTAAAACATAGAAATACAAACATAAAATCACTCATTTAAATACGTCAAACAGAATCAAGCTGAATTGCTTTAGTAGTAAAACACTCCACACTTACCAGCTCTTGACCTGCTTGACTCCCCTCTGCTGGCTTCTGCTGTGTCTCAGTAACCAAAGATTTCTTCTTCCCAGATTTCTTTTTCTTTGTTTTGGATTGCACGGACGGTTCAGGAGCATTGAGACCCTCTTTCGGGTGGGAGGGTTTCTCCTCCTGTGCACTGCTTGGCTCATGAGAAGAGCAGGTGTCTGTTGCCTCTGTGGTGTCCATGTCCTCTGCTGTCCTGGCAGGAGGGATTTGAAAGTTGAAAGCAAAAGCGGGGCCTTGCCCCGTAAAGGATATCTGATTTGATGCGGCCTCGGTCCGCTCAGACAGAGACTCTTTTGCCTGAGGTGCTGGGGAGCTCTCAGTCAAGAAGTCAAATCTGAAGGAGTTGTCAGTGCGGGTCCACAGACGGCCCTCAGATCTCTCACCAGCAGATGTGGAGCTTTTTGTCTTAGCTTCAATGTCTGAGTAAAGAGACACAAACAAAAGGTAAATTAAGTCACTTACACCATCATCTTTTACTGAAGTTCTGATGTGATCACAGATGTTAAACACAGAAATGTTTAAAATATAAATAAAGTCATTTTTAAAATGCTCAAATTCACATAATTTTGCCCATACGCTACTTCCGCTTATTTAAATCTGCATTCACTCTATGGACAATTAAGATGTAAAAAATACAAGCAGTAACATGACTTGTTGGAAACGAATTCAGCTTCTGCCTCGTAAAATTATTACATCTTAACGTAGTTACCTATAAACAGCAGTCTTTGCTCGGTCATGCTTTCTTCCAGTAGCAAGGGATTACAGACGAGATGAACCCGACTGGCCGAATCCTTCAGATCGACACATCTGAGTGGACCGATTTTGTGATTAAATTACAATGTTACGTTGATTTACATGCTTAAATCATCTCCATAACCCACCAGACGCTCACCTCCGATGTCACTTCAGAAGAGGTTCGTGTAGCAACGTTTCCTCAACACCTGATTGATTCCGCTAAATGGTGGTCATTTCAACCAACGTGGTGAGTTACAGAAGTCCGATTAATCTATTCCACTGAGTCCAACACACTAACTGGAATTTGATTTACCTGTTAAGGAATAATGAAATATTTTGTCTGTTTTGTTTGCGCGTTCCCTTCTGCATCAGCTTCCCTCCTTTTCCAACAAAGCCACAAAGGATCAGAATAACTCTCCAAAAACAAATGGTTTTGTAAAGAAATATGTACAGGCTATGCCAGCTGCAAAATAATTAAAGATGAAGGAGAAAATAACAACACATAACGTCACTACTATATTCGTTTTAATGGAGAGAAAGCTTGGACTGTTTAGGATGAACTGAGGACCCTCTTGCGCTATTTTTAGAGACAGAAGAGATCTGAACCCTGAAAAGGTTTTGATTGATTCTGATGCTGCAGGAAAAAAGGCTACTATCGAGCTATATGGAAGGACTAGCACAAGTTGATTAAGTTTGGGAAATAATTAGATCTTTGCAAAAAAGGGGGATTTGTATGATTTTGTTGGCAGTCTATGATTCTTAATTCGATCTTCTACCAATCATATTCTTCCAATGGTGTGAGTCTGGACCAATCATGTAAAGCGGAAGGCGGGCCTAAGAGCCCAGTCTAGCTGACGTTTTAAATACCTCCTCCTGCCACACACGGCGGACATATAGAGAAGGCAGGCTGAGGGGAAGTACCTAACCCGTGAAGGATAAACACAAACGGTAAGACTTAATTTTATATTAGAAAAATATTAGATAAAAAATCGTTAATAATGTACAGGTCTGTATAACAGGCTTTTAAATACGGAAATAGGGTGGTACACGGCTTAATCGTTTGACAACAGAATGGTGCGCGCCATAATTGGAAGCTAACTGGATTAAACAAATGAAGTGCTCTATTAAAAGCTTCTTATCCAGTAAGCATAAATGCATGTCTAAAGTTATTTTCCAAGTTGTTTCTTTAGTGTCGGTATTCTATTATTTTATCTGATGAATTAACATTAGCTCTGCTGGCTAACTGGCGCCATTTTGCATCCGTCCATGCTAGCTTTTCAAATTGCTGGGCAGACAAGCAAAGAAACGTGTGTTTTCTCTGTAGCCTAATGGTGGCTGAGCCTTCCGTGGATCATCACACGAATGATAAGCAGTTTGAGTAGTTTTTACGTCAGACATTGTCGTATCCCTTTAGGCAAATCAACAAATCTCCCAGTTAGAAGTGAACGAGCTATTTCTATAGGTTTGCTAATGTTGGCGATAAACGTATCTTGTGTCCTTTTGTTATTGTGTTTTGTTCTGTTGTTAGACCAACGAAGAAGACGATCAGTATCATTGTTAACTCTGCTTTATTTGATCGATCAAGTGTTTTTTTATTATATGGAAGTTCGGCAGTTTATTGGGAGTACGAGATAAGCGGCAAAATGTACTTGGCCTTTTTAGATCAACATCTAAGAAATGGCTCGTACCAAGCAAACGGCTCGTAAATCCACCGGAGGAAAGGCGCCCAGGAAGCAGCTGGCTACCAAAGCGGCCAGGAAAAGCGCGCCGTCTACTGGTGGAGTGAAGAAACCCCACAGATACAGGTAGGCTCATGCAGTAGATGTGATGCAAACATGTACCGACCTTGAACAGGATTGAATCGATTTCCGGTGTGTGTGTGTACTTTTTTAAAATGTGCATGTAATCCTACATCTTAACAGGCCTGGTACCGTTGCTCTGCGTGAGATCCGTCGGTACCAGAAGTCTACTGAGCTGCTCATCAGGAAGCTGCCTTTCCAGCGTCTTGTCAGAGAAATCGCTCAGGATTTCAAGACAGATCTGCGTTTCCAGAGTGCGGCGATTGGTGCTCTCCAGGTAAGATTTTATTTTCCCCTCATTGTTTTGGTGTAGTTCTTCAATAATAAGTGTCGTATAATCATAGTAGTTGCTGCGTAATCAACCATTTTTTCTTTTTCCCTCCAAATTTAGGAGGCCAGTGAGGCGTACTTGGTTGGATTGTTTGAGGATACCAACCTGTGTGCCATCCACGCAAAGAGGGTCACAATCATGCCCAAGGACATCCAGCTGGCCCGGCGAATCAGAGGAGAGCGAGCATAAATGCTTTGATTGGGTTTTAACTTTTTAGGGGGGGTGGGAGACAGGAGAGGTGGGGGGGTTGTTTTTTGTAAATCTTGAACTATTACCAGCATGTGTGCCACATAACTTGTTTGAGGTTTGTTTTTGTACTTTTTTGCGTTTCACATGACTTTCTGACTGCTCCTTTCAGTGTAGACGAGAGCTTCACACATGTAAATGCCCATAGTTCATGCCTTTCTCAGGTTGGCAAATATTTTAGTCCTTTTTCTTTTAAATCCTGTGTGTGCATGTCATAGGATTTCTGGTTGTGCTGTAAATAAACTTTCCGCTACCTCATATGGACTCGGTGTGTGATTTAAGTCCCCCATGTTTCCCCATGACGGGCTTGATCTCTCTCAATTATGAAAGAAACTGAGTGGTTGGTGTGTAATCTGTCATCCCGATCTCAGTTGTATCCGATTTTGGAAGTATTGAAGCCAAGTTATTGGAATGCTGCGTGTATTTAAGGACCTGTAAACCTCAAGGTGACAGTCTGGTACTGAAACCAAAGCTTTTTATTTTCAATTCATATTAATTTCAACAAGACAATGCATGGCAGAACAATCTTTGCGGCAGTGGACGTCTAAAGAATCTGTTCCACAAAAGATTAAAGAACATTTCAGAATAAATACTAGTTATGTACAGAATCTATGCATCATTTATTATCCTCAGTCTCTTCATCTGAGACCAAACTAGGGAACTGCTCGTACAGCTGCTTCTCCAGCTGTTCGTCAATGTCTGTTTCCTCTCTGAAGGCGCACCACAATAGGAAAGCGGTTCCAAACAGGCTGATGGGGATTACTTTCCACCAAGGCCTCTCATACTGGCTGCCCATGGAGCGGTCAACTTTCCAGGTCCTGTGGCTGGCCTTACTGGTGGAGAACTTGATGGGCTCACTGTTGACCTCCTCCTCGTCTTCTGTGGGGGCCTTCGACTTGGTCAACATCTGAGAGCTCACTGCCAGCGTCCGCACGCTTTGAAGCTTGCTGCTGGAAAATTTAGAAAAGGGGTGTGTTCACAGCAATGAACTAGTTCATTTGAATTTATTTAAAATTCATCCCCCAAAACACATCTTACCAATGATAGCATGATTGGTCTTTTTAGTAAAATATTAAAACAATGGTGAACTTTTGGCCATATGAAATAGATTTATTAAAACTGATGGATATCTTGTACGTAAACAACCTAAAGCAGACACATTTTAGGAGGCAGTAAGGTGTGAGACTTTTCCGACATAAGCAGACCTGACCATGCTGTTTCCAACATAAGATAAATTGTACATTTTTGTTAAAAATTACATTAACTAATCCTTACCTTTTATATTCTGTAGAACAAAAGTGTTTAATCAAATTGATCCAAAATGTGATCATTTAAAAACTGCTTTCCCCCGTCTCCATAGTGAAAGGATGTAGATGACAGAGATGATGCCATCTAGAGTGCTATTCTGACGCTGCCCAGCTCAGTGTGTTACAGTGTTAATCCTCACATACAGCGACAGTGATTTGAATTTTCAGTCACAAATCTAAGTCCTATATGTGTTTACTACTAATCGTGAACTAGATTTAGTGAAGAACGTTATATTCATGATCCCCACTGTGACACCTGAGCCTAATTTTGCCTTGTCATCGAGTCATAATAACCATTATAGTCCACACACTCATTTATCCCACCACACATTTCCACTCACCTCACGGACGTCGATGCGTTTTGAAAACATATTCCTCTGCCGAGAATCACGCGTGTCAGACTGCTGAAAACTTGTCCTGCTGCTTTAGACATGTTGGACAATGGGTCATCTTACTTCATACAGCGTTAGGTGAATTCAGCCGAAGGTCCACCAGGCGACTTCTCAGGTCATGTAACAAATCGTCGTGCAACCTTGAATTTCATCCGATGCTCCTATTGGACAGATGGTTTTGGACCGTTCCGGGGAATCGTAGAAGAAACATCACATTGTCGTAGTGGTGTATTTACAACCGTTTTCTTTAGAATATTAGTATAACAATTAATTTTAGCTATTTTAAAAGCTGTTAAAATGGCTTAACGAATTAATAAAAGTCCGATATTTGATTTGGGTTATCAAGAGTTTGAAACTAAACAGATTTTTGAGTGTTAGAATATTTTAAGGCGTTTTTATTTTAACATTTTCCACTTTAGCCTGTGAAATATGTTTGGGGGGGAAAGATAGACGTTAATGTCGGTTTCAGGCGTCCTTGTTGAAGTTGTAACCAATTAAACGAAACGCACAGATTTTCGTCCAATGACGTTTCACCTTCTTGAATCCACTTCCTGGTTGGCTTCCCCCCATGCTTTTCTTTTAGAACTGGCACGTTTTCATCTGTTTAATGTAAGTCTTTATATTTATTTAAATGTAATGTTGTAAAAGTCGCATTTCCGTTGAAGTGGAAGTTTATTTTAATGTAGTAACGACTGTGGGTGTATGAACAGACGTTGAGAGGTATCAGTTTAGTCATTATTTATATGTCCTACACGTGTTGCTTGATTTAGTCAAGGTTTGTTCATCACATATTGTTCGTTCGATTGAATGTGTTTGCATTTTCACCTCTTTTTGTAGAAGTCATGCCGAAGGACAAGTCTGCAAAATTAGAAATAAATCCTCCTAAATGGAAGAAGTTGAGTTCAAATGGCAGTCAAGCTCCACCTCAAGAAATAGCGGAGATTACAGTTAAAAAGAAAGGGAAAAAGGCGGAGGTAAGTAAAACAGTAAAAACTGAAATTCAAATTATACAGATGAACGTTTATTACGTAGAACCCAAGAGGAAATGATAAGAGTATTGTATATGTCATTGTTTTCCTTTAATAGACAGTAGATATAAGGTCAGGATCATTTATCACAGGCAGACGTTGGATGCAGAAGAAGCTTCTAACTGAAAACACTCACAGTATTGTTTAATAGCTATATTGTTAGTAATGAACGGTATTTTTTTTAATGAATTTAAGGGCATCTGTTTGAATACATTTTCTCTGGTCAGAAGACGGCATTTCTGTTTTCCTCAGGATGCTCCAGTGCAGATTTCCTCCGTAACAATCGCAGCGGATGATAAAAAACAAAAAAAGGACAAGAAGCGCAAAAAGAAGGTGATGCCAGAGCAAACGCAAACAAAGAAATCTGAGGTGAGGACATAGGCTGCTGAATATGCCTTATTTTACAATGCAACCCTTTGTGTCTCTTTTTGTGGAAGTTGTTTGGACCCAGAAATGTTGCAGCTTTGTTTTGAAACTAAGATGAATTTCTATCAGAAATCTGAAGTTTGATTTGGATAATACATGAGTAGTTGTTATAGCAGGAAGGACTTTCTATTGTATCAACTGTTAGTTAATCTCGTGGCATAAAGCTTTCTCTGGTGGGGCTTGTCTGAAGCTCTCTGGGGAGTGTGGAACGATTCGCGGAAGGTCGTTTGAGCTCAAATTTGAGGAGTGGCTCGGGGTGTTTGCTGCATGGAGGCATGGCTGTTCCGCCGGCACGTAAATGGATTTGCCAGAAGCTGATCTGTGCATCCGGGACCATCGGCTTTTCTTCTGAACAAAAAGCCGCAGTCTTTTCCGAAAGGTCTCCCCGAGGAAGCCATAGATGAGCGGGTTCAGGCAGCTGTTGGAGAAGGCGGCCAGCCTCACGGCGTGGCCGGTCAGGGGGTAGTCCTGCCACAGCGTGCCGCCGCCTGCGCCGCCCCGCAGGAGGTGGACGCTTATGAAGGCGTTCTCGGGGAGCCAGCACAGAAAGAAGACCAGCACGGCGGCCGAGATCATGCGCAGCGCCCTCCGGCGGCGCGGGCGCTGGCGCGGGACGCCGCGCTCCGGGCGGCGCCGCAGCGCCCACGCTATCCGCCCGTAGCACAGCGTCAGCACGCAGAGCGGCAGCGCGAAGCCCAGCGTCACCTCCAGCCACTGGATCTGCGTCACGTTGGCGAAGCAGAAGCGCACCTCGCCCGCGTGCTCCACCTGCGCCAGGGCGAAGGGCAGCAGCGTGAGGACGCCCGCCGCCGCCCAGAGCAGGCAGCAGCTGAGGCGCGCCCGCGGCAGGCTGCGCCCCAGCGACGAGCCCGACAGCGCCACGAAGCGGTCCAGGCTCATCCAGGTCAGGAAGAAGACGCTGCTGTACATGTTGGCCTGCTGGAACAGGTTCATGAACGTGCAGAGGCCGGCGTTGTCGTAGTAACCCCGCTTCAGGTTGAACACCTCTATCATCGAGTCGGCCACCAGAACCAGGTCGGCCACCGCCAGGTTCACAAAGTAGAGGTCGGGGGTCGCCCAGCGGCCCCTGTGGTCCAGGTTGACCGCCAGGATGAGGATGTTCCCAATGAAGCCGACTGGGAACAGGAGTACGATGTAGAGGCCGGAGAGGACGATGCTCACATTATAGTCCTGGCAGCTCTGAGAGGTGGCCAGAGGGAAACTAGAGACGGCTATCTCTGAGTTGTTCGGGTGGACGGAGAGGTTTTTCTCAATGATGACTCTGTAGTCCACATACATAGCTGTGTCCATGCTATGCTCTTTTAAAAAAAAAAAAAAACCTTTATCTATCTTGCCATGGTTTACAGTGCCGTGTATGTTTGTCTCCTTTGGAGTTGATGGTGCCGTCAGTCTCTGGTTGGTTAATGGTTACTTCCTGACAGGCGAAAGAGTCCACGCATGCTTTTTGTGTTAGTTGGGAAACAAAAGTAAAGCAGGTTAACAGCGTGTTACCAGACTTCAGACCTGTGAGAGGTCAACAGGATTGACACTAAAGCAAAAAATCAAAATACTGCAAACTGGTCTGGGCGTAAATGGAACTATATCCCTGCGAGGTTCCAGTCCCAGAGCTGCTGACATTCAGCTGTCCTTATTTCCACTGTAAAACAATGTACTAATGAATCTCGCTGAACATTATTTAAGATCAACAAATTATTTCCCAAAAAGTCCTCAGAATTTGTGTAGCTTAGAATGGAAATAATGTCTGGGACAAAGGTCCTGTTGGTCCAGGATCCTAAGTTACCATGTCCTCAAGCTATGTTAAGCTTGTGTTCTTTGTTGGTGGTGAAAACTAGTTGTTTTCTAAATTTTTATGAACCATTGAGTATCTAATGGAGAACAACCCAAAAGGTTACTGCAGAAATATGTTATCTTATGTGTCACCAGCTGCTGGTCAAACTTTATTCTTTGCTTCAAATCTTAGTACATTATAAGATAATTAATCAGCCTCAGCTTACCTTTACGTCTTTGAAAATCCTCTCGGTCCGGCTGTGGTGACAGTAAATGATGTCTGAGAAAACCCAGAGAGGTGTTGTACACCACAACACACAATGCAGGCTTTCACATTAGTGACACCATTCCTGGCCAGGCATGAAAGTTTCTGTCATTAACTATTTTTGCCGTTTGTTAGCAACACAGTTGGCTGTCCTGTCAAACATCTGCTACGAAATGCAGACAAGCTCCCTTTATTTCTGATGTAACTGTGTGAGGTTTGGACATGGGGATTTTCAGCTCTTTGGACTGAAATCTCTTTCTGGCAGAAAGGTTGTATCATGTTAAAATATGTAAATATGGGAGATGGGCTTTTAAAAAAAGCCAGAGTGACGACATATTTATACAACACATGATGAAGGATGGACGAGCGTAGCCTCACTCGACCCATTCTGTCCAGACCTGTAAAGTTGCCTTTTCCTCTTTGATTTTACAGGCACTAATTTCAGCCCCTGTGTTATTCACCAATTTGTAGAGTAATGGATGCCATTTGGGTTTTTGACACATGTCCAGGAGTGGATAGATCCCTGACGCCGGTTTGCTGCTTGGGCTCGGGCTTTGACATTTAGCATGGCACCAGCATCGTACTCAGCCTGTCTCCCGCATGCTCCTTTTCCTTCAGGTCACTGGTTTTTGTGCCTCTCTGTCTCCACTGTGGGAATATGTCATCCACGCTTGTCAGTTATTCCTAGAACTGGTTAACTTTTAGTTTCTGTTTGATTTGACAGCTTGGAGAACATAGCACAACAACCTTTATTACCTCTGGCCTAAACGCAGACACACCAAACGCTTCCTGTGTGTTTTTTTTTTTTTCCTGGCCTCGGTCTGAATGGCCTTTTGTGAAAAGGTCTGCGGAAACAAGGAGTCATTTCCCATAATTGGAGAATCATAATCCAGTAAGACCCAGTGTGTCTGCCTTATTCAAGCTGCGGGCTTCAGAATCTTTAGAAAAGACAACAAAAGAGGACTGTAGAAATACTACGATATTTATTTTTTCAAAAAATTTGAAAATAGTTATAAGGTTTAGGAAATTTACAACGGTAAATAAGAGAGTAAAGTACATCTTTAAAAAGGTTCACGCAGTCAGTAGGAGGAAAAAAGCACTGGAAGGTGTCTGCTGTGCGGGCTCTCCGCTCGGTCTCTGAAACAGGAGCGCCCTTTCCTCCTACGACTCTATGTCCTGCAGAGTGTCTGTGATCTCGATGTGTGGCGCTATGATGTTCCGGTTGGGCTGTGCTCCTCCCGGCCTCCGGCAGCAGTCTCTCAGCTGCCTCAGGACCCCGGTCAGACTCTCGCGGCACGGCCGGTGCACCAGCAGCACCAGCAGGAGGCTGCCGGCGCTCCCCGTGAACAGCACGCCCTCGGCCACGTTGAGGAAGGCCTGCTCGCGGGGGCTCGGGCTCCTCCCCGCGACGATCCGGGCCCCGGCTATCAGCGCCACGCCGTAGAAGAGCTGGCAGAAGAACACCAGCGTGGTGACGGCCAGGAACACGGGCCCCTCCTCAGACCCGGACAGGAAGCGCCCCTTAGACCTCCACTGCCGGACGCAGCCGGCGGTGAGGAGTCCTGTCTGGAGCGCGTAGGGGATCAGACAGATCACGCACAGCCGGGCGGCCGCGTACGACACGCCCGCGCGGGCCGGGTCCATCGCACAGTCCTCCACGCTCTGCAAGCCCTCCCTGGGCCCGCGAAGTCCCGCCAGCAGCAGAGAGGCGAGCGTGGCGGTCAGCACCACCAGCGCGGCGCAGACCCCGGGCCTCCTCAGCAGCGCGTGGGAGGGGGGGTCCAGGGTGAGCACGTACGCTATCAGCACCAAGACCAGCAGCGCGCACAGAGAGGCGGCGTTCACGGCGAAGGAGAGGGCGGCGCAGCCCGCGGCCGTGCTCTTCAGGAAGCCGGGCCGGTGGGCGGCGGAGTGCAGGGACAGGAGCAGGAGGAGCAGCTGCACGCCGCAGAACGCCCACAGGAGGCAGTCCAGAAAGGCCACGCGCCTCTGAGCCCTGTAGGTCTGAACGAAGCTGTGCAGCAGGAAGCAGCCCGCCACCAAGCCCAGCACGGCCAGGAAGCTGTAGACGTAGTTGGCCGTGGAGGTTATGTCATTGGCCGCAATCCTGTTCAACACAGACGAGGAGCTCTCTGAGGTGGAGAGCTCCTCCTGGGCGGCGCTGATGGTGGAAATGAGGAGATATGATCGTGTGGTGCTCCGGTCCGTGGCCTCGGTGCTTTGATTAGACTGTAAATAGAAAAAGGAAACGGTTACTGATGAAATTCTGACTCCCTTCATGACTAATTGCCACCGTTGAGAGTTCCCTCCCTATTCATCTCAGTTCAGATCACTTTTTTACTCTTGCAAAACAAAAACTTTAGCTGTTTTTTTACACAACTCATTCCTTTTTTCAGCCTTCGAGGCACTAACGGGCTCCTTTCAGGATCGTACTCACACCATACCGTTCTTTCCTAAACGGAGTCACAGCAGACTAAACATCACGCTGTTGGATACGTTTACTGTGTGCTTTTTATCTCTAATGTTTAGTTTGTGCTCGCCTCGGGAAGCTAAGTTTTGTCCGCTGCCTTTTGAGGAACCTCCCCGACACATGTTTCCACTTACCATTTTTGATTTCGCTAGCCGCCCGTCTGTTTTGTTTCCACCAGCCAGCCCGCGCCGATCCACTCAGGGCTCTGAAAACTCTGCTCGTTGCATGGGACTGCTCACACTGAGCCCTTTCAGACTTCTGAGGGCAGTGCCCCTGTTAGCATCATACTTTCAGAATGACTTCGTGGCCACGTGATCAAAACCTTTTCCTCCCCTCCTTGAACCCCCCCCTCCCCCCCCCCCCCCCCCCCCCCCCTCAATCCTCCCCCCTTCACCATGACAGAGGTCTGTTAAATCAAAGTGCATAATGTGGCCTTGTTTAACTTCCTCACAGCGGTTTAGACGGGTGGTTTTGCTGCGTTTCCAGCCTCATGCAGGGAAGCACCTTCTGTTTTGTTTAAGTTTCCCTGGTTGAATGCTAGGAAAGATTTCTCTGCTGACTAAAGTGCTCGTTTTAAATGTTGTTGCATGACATTATAAAGTTACCACTGCTTTCTTTAATCTGAACTAAATGTCCTCTTTAGCTGGTGCTTTTATTCTTTTTTTTTTTTTTAGCAGAGTTAGCACTTGCAAATGTACCACCAAAGGTCTCTTCAGACCCCAAGTAAACCACCTACAATAGACGTGTGATGTGCTCTCACAGGGCTGTAGATACAGGAAACGTCCCTCTGAGCTGCGGTGCAACAGGAAGTCATCCAACTCTAAACAGCACATTCAGTTTTCACCTCTTCAGAGCAGATGACAAAATGACACATTGTGTCATTATTCATTAGACGCACAAGTAAACTGTCACGAAGCCAGCTGCTTAAAAATACTTCTACGTTCTGTTTTAAGGTCATAAGCCGATTTTTCAGCACCCTTATTTATGTTTTCAAAAAATGCTGGAATATCTAATCGATATAGATCTTCAGATAGGCAGAGTAGTCTGCCTCTGACAAAACTTAAACTGGTACTTGCTATATGTCGTTCATTTTCTCCGGGCGTTGCAGGTGCTGCTGCTGTTTAAGTTCTGAAAACGTAACCTTTGTGCCGCAGACTCATTTTCTGGTTTTGACTGGTCCATGTATTAGTAAAGGAAACACAAATAACTTGGTGATTCCCATATATCTTACTCTGGAACTGGGGAAAAAATCTGTTGTTTCTTTTATTCTTCCTTCCCTAATGTATTCCGTTGCCAGTTATAGCATACAAGTTGTAAAAAAAAAAAAAAAGTTATTTGAGAAACTGGTTTACCAACCAGTCCATGTGAGGATTTGATAGTGATCGCTATAATTTATTTAGCCTCTTTAAAGAAACATTTCAGAATGGACGAATTTAAAATGTATATTGAGAGATACACATGAACACAGTCAAGCAAGACAATAAAATGACAACCGCCAGGGGGATATATCTCATTACATAAATTAAAGAGGACATAAATCATAATTCTAAACAGCCTTCATATTAGTGGAATGTCTAATGGTTTTAACATAGTGTTTAACCCACATGGACGGGTTAGACCTACCAAATGATCAGCTATTGGCTAAATGTCCCTCTGTTGATGTCATTGTTTTTCGGATTTTTAGGAGGCTGAATATTGCCGTGTGGACATTGGCGATCTGAACTGGAAAGACAGTTTATAGGCAAATGGTGTTTAAATCATGTTAAGAGCGCTTTAGTGTTTAATGGAAAAGATGTGCCGTGTCGGCAGGAAATAGTGCTGCTTGCGCCAATTCCAGGCTCCGAGTTTCACTTTGATATAAGTCGTGAAACTGCCTCCTTCAAGAAAAACATTGGAGGAGGGGGGAAGAAACTTGCTGGTTTAACCCCCGCCCCGCTCACAGGTGTTTGCCAATTAGGGGAAAGGAGTTTTGTGTTGGCATCTCGGTGGACCAATCAGATCGCACGGGTAACACGCGTATCCCCGTTCAACGCTTTAAATCTGTACGGGAGCAAAAATCAACCATGAGGTCCAAAGAGCTATGCGTAGACGTCCGAAATAAGATCGTGTCAATGCACAAAGACGGCGAGGGATACAAGAAGATTGCGTCCGCTTTAGAAGTGCCCCGGAGCACCGTAGTGTCCATCATTCGCAAATGGAAGACGTACGGAACCACTGACAGTCTTCCTCGATGTGGTCGCCCATCCAAACTGAGTCATCAGATGGTCAGTCAGGTAAGGCCAGCAGTCACTGAATGAGATGCACCGAGGAGAAGGAGAACCTCCAGAGGAATGACATCATTTTTACGTATGGACGTTAACATCACCCCTGCTAGCAGGCAGGGGGATGGCAGGGTCATGCTCCCAGAAACTGGGAGATCTGTCTAGGTTAAGATCTTCAGTTTTTTTTTAACAGTTGCAGAACCAACAACACTCTTCAACACAATAACGACTGCAGTAACTAAAAATGTGTTGAACAGTTACAGCCCAGTGATGATGCGGCTTCCAGATGTGTCACTCTGCCATGTGTCTTAAAGCTCCCCGAATCATCCGGCTGCACCAAAGAGACGCGTGAGCTTGAAGAAGAAGAAGACGACGACCTAATGGGGGAACTGAGTCCCGAAGAGAGGCGGGTCCTGGAGAGGAAGATGAAGAAGATCCTGAAAAAGGAGGAAAAGAAAAGGCTCATAGCGGACGGAGAGACCATGAAAAAAGTGGAAGCAGCTGGACCCAGCGCATCTCAACTGGCCTTGGATTACCTTACATGGTAGGTCAACTCTTCTTTCATTCAGATCAGGTGCACGATGATTTGAATAATAT